GCACTGCACATAGAAAGGTTTATATTAGATTAAACATTACGTGGTAATAATAATAATAATAATGATAATAATAATTCTACATTTATATTGCGAACTCTGCCAACATAATGGCACTCTTGGCGCACAGATCAACAAATCAATTACAAGAATATGGTCATTAATCAAAATTCAACAAATTATATTCCGAAATGAAAAGGCGACAAAATTAATGGTCAACGAAAGTACAGATATACTACTAATAACCAAAAGTAATACAAAATATTCTAACTGAGATAATAATCCTAACACTAACAGTACGCCTTATTCATCAACAAGGCCTTCAATATTTGTTGAACATTTCTAATTAATGAGCTCAACTTCAAGTCCAAAGGTAGTGCATTCCAGGCAAGTGGGGCAGCAACGCAAAATGACCTATCACCCCATAATCGTTTACACTGGTCAATATTTTCCGAGCGGAGACATCTCGCAGGCTTCCTCCATTCTACCATCTCCATCATCTTCATCAGGTACAAGGTTTTCATTTTGTTGTTGTCACATTTTGAATATAAATCAATTTCATAAGTAATATTTTATGAGAGATATTTCTTCCAAATTGATTTTAAAGACTGAAAAAGCTCACACAATGATTAAAGATGATTTTTAATTTTTAATATAACTCAATTTTCCCTTTTTAAAAACATTTCTCGAACGCGGAGTAAACGTAGAAGGTTGCCTTGAATGTTCAGTCTTACCGACCTACCAAAACCACTGCAATGCTTGATGGTAGAAAGATTGTGTTTAAATTCCATATTTAATCTTGTGGATATCATTCAAAAAGCTGTTATAGACCACGTACCGGTAGATAGTAAAGCAATGAGCTCAATTTCAATGCGGTATGCAATAAAATTGTGTCCATCTTATATTTGTTTTAAAGGAAAAAATAGTAGTAATGCTTCAAACGAATAGGCTACGACAGAATACAATCGTAGGTTCATTGTCGTAGTCTGCCGCAATCATTTTATTGAAGGTACTTTTCCGACCACAGTCAAGGTAATATTTTCAATCAGTATGCACGATTTGTTGGTTTGTGGATTTCCCATTCCCATTCCGAGACAATATTTGGAAACACCGTATGCACAGATAGGACAAAATGATATGTCCAATGCGCATGGCTGTGTATACTCCTTGTCAAATCCCCTTTACACTATGAACACTATTCATCAATTGACTGTTGATTTTGTTATATTTTTAAAAACGTACATAATTATTATTACGTATATATTCCATTCGATCGTCTTCTGCTAGCTCTGGCCGGCGAATTTTTCAAAATAAGTCTTATAAGTGCAGAAATAATTCACGTGAATTCGCAATAGCTCGGTTTAGGCACTTGACATTGAATGGGATCCTATTTTGCTGCCCTTTTGCTGCAACCTAGCCAACAAACAAATTAACTCAAACCGTAACCCATTGTATCACTATTGTGCTATCGACATCTTTCGCCTACTCCTTCCTTTCCCTGTTTTTGTTAAGCTAAAGTCCGTACTCCCTCTTGTCATGATGTTTGTCCTTCTTGCAAATGTCACCGTGCTCAACTCTATCTACAAAGTCCAATAGTCCTGGCTACTTCTTGCCAAATGCCAATGATGACATTGTTCTTTGTAACCACACATAGTCATTGATCATTCTTTTAAATATCTCCTTCTGTTCTTGTAACCCTGTAATCCTTTCTATTTCCTGATTATGTTTTCTTTTGTTCTTTGTAGCCCTGTAATTTTCGTTCTTTCTCGTCGATGACTTCTCCTGTTCTCTAAACGAAAGTTTGTTGCTCGTTCTTGTCGGTAGCCCTGTAGTCCTTGCTCCTTATAGTCGATGTCTTCACCTGTTCTTTGTATCCCAATAGTTCTTAGGCCTTGTCTAAGTCTTTCCAATTATCTGCAGCCCTACACGTGATTGTTCCTTCGTGTTGATGTCTCCTTGTGCTCTCCGTAACTCTGTGGTCCTTGTCCCTTCTTGTTGATACCTGCTCTTCGCAACACTGTGCAGTCCTTGCTCATTCGTGTTGATGTCTCGTCCTGTTCTTTGTAACTATGTAGTTCTTGTCCTTCCTGTTGATGTAACTTACAGGTCTTTTTAATACGACAGTTCTTGTTCAATATTATGTTGATGTCTACCCCTGTCCTTTGTAAAACTGTAGTCATTGCTCCTTCTTGTTGGTGTCTCGTGCTGTCCTTCCTAATCCTATACGTTTTGTTCCCTTTCGTCGATGTTTCCATGTGTACTGAGTAGCCTTATTCTAGTAGCCTCTGTTCATTCTTGTTGATAACTTATCTTGTTCTTTGTAACTCTGTATAGTCCATGCTCTTTATTGCTGATTTCTCTGATGTTTGTTTGTAATTCAGAAGGCTTGATAGCTCAGTCGGTAGAGCAGTGGTCTCGTAATCCGGTGACCCGGGTTCGAAACCAAGGCGATGCGCTAATGCCCTTTGGTAAGGCATTGATCCTCATTACCAGGTCCCTCGGAGAGGACCTAAAGCCGTCGGCCGTCTGGTTGCTTACTAACAAGCATTTATGCTTTCTTAGCAGTCAGGTAAAATAACCACCACCACAAATTAAAAAAATCAATATTTTCCCTCTGGTAGATATCTTTACCGCTTCTGTGTAACCCCATGTTCCTTGCTCTATCTTACCAATGACTTATCCCGTTCTTTGTAAGTCCTGTGTCCTTCATGTTACCCTTGATCTTGTCCTTGATCTTCCTTGTTAGTTTTTTTTATCAGTTCTTTGTAACAATCTATCCTCTGCTCCTTCTTGGCGGTGCCTCCTTCTGTTCTTTATAAGTCTAGAGTCCTTGTTCCTTCTAGTTGATGTCTCCTGTTCTTTGTAACCGTGTGATCCTTGTTGATATCTCCTTCTGTTCGTCGCAACTCGGCTGTCTTTGCTCTTTTTAGTTGATGTCTCCTCCTGCTCTTTGTAACCAGCATTGCACTTGAGCCTTCTTGGTGATGTCTTTACCGAATCCACGTAACCCTATATATACTCACTGTTTCGTCTTGATGATGTCTTCTCCTGTTCTTTGTAACCAATATCCTTGATCCCTCCTGCCAGTATATTCACTGTCTCTAGCTCTGTTCATTCAGTCCAATAGTCTTTACTCCGTCTTGTTGATGACTTCCTCCTATTCTTTGAAATTCTATTGTTTTCCTCCCACTTGTCGATGTCTGTATCGCTTCGTTATAGCTATGTGATCCTTGCTCCTTCTTTTTCATATCTTCTTAAGTTCATATCTTCATAAGATCACTGTAACTCTATATTGTCATTGCTCCTTCCCATCGATGTCTTCAAATCTTCTTTTAAACCCGTCGTGTAGGTAATCCTTGCTCATTCTTGTCGAATTTTGTTCGTGTTCTTTGTAACTGTGTAGTCCTTGCTCCCTCGTAACCATAATTATATCCTCCTGTTCTTTCTAGCCCTGTAGTCTTTGTTAATTCTTGTCGATAACTTCTCCTGATTTGTGTAAGTCTAAAGTTTTTTTTTTTTTTTTTTGCAATTTCAATAAATCCAAGGAGCCTACTGGGTTATGTATTGGCACACACAACATTGCAATACATTAAACAAGGTAAAATCTTTGAATTATACAGTAAGATTGAAATATTTTCTGGCAAGAAGTGGCGCAGTTTGCTGATGACACCAATATTCCTTGATATTTGTTTAGATATAGTAAATATATGTTCAACCCATGTTAAATGTTGATCGATAATAATTCCTAAGAAATGTGTAGATTGGACACGTTTTATGATTACATTATTCATACTAATGTTAAGATTGGTTAATTAATTTTCTGTGATTGTATTTTGCGTACGATGAAAGTATAGAAAGCTAGATTTGGAAGTATTAAGAGATAATTTATTACAATTAAACCACTGTGAAACATGGCATAACTCCTCATTAAGAAATTGACATAAATCATTTTAACATTTTCATGACTTTAACGGATATTGGTGTCATCAGCGAAAAGAATGAATTTTAGTTTATCAGAGCAATTAATTAAATCATTTATATACATTAACACATGTGAGGATATCGAAACGATAAAAAAAGAATATTTGAACAATATCATGATACATAATAAGAGGAGAAGAGAACACACACAATAAGAGAAAACATAGAAGAAGAAAACTCTCAAGAAGTTTCAATCCAATTGTTTTGATTATTATATATATATTTGTGTTATGCGTGTAGATGATACATATTTATACACACACAAATATGTATGATAATTATGTATGTACATATAGATATGTATAAATATGTGCTTGTGTTTGAAGGTGTATGGGTGGTGATGCGCATGTGTATGTGGTTAACACATTGCAATTATGTTGTGGTCGGGTATGTTTTTTTTTCTTTTTCTTCAAAATGTAGATATAATTATATACCTTGTAAGTTTTTAATTTGAATGTTATTGGTTGGTATTTCAGGTTATAACCAAAACATAATGATCAATCTTATGGTAGCTCTCTCGCAATCCCTATACTTGACGTGTAAAGTAATGATGGCTATGAATATTTCTATAATAGGAATACCCATTTTTGAAATTTACACAATATGTCATTAATGCCTTCTGTTACTGCACATATTATTGGCGGGGATTACATATGGATTAGACACGGAATACAAAATTGGCAGCCAACGGGTCAAAGTTATTTGTATTACTTCACAAAATGTATATGCTAAACCAGTAGGTCCATGGCTAAACAGAATGATGTAATTTGACTATCGATATACTTGTTGAAAATATAAAGATACTAAGATACTAAGTTAAGATACTCGCATCGGAATTGAAAATTATTTTGTTATTATGTTATGCTATATAAAGGTTATGTTACGATACTGCAAACGGTATGCGTTTAAATGATAGATTAAAATGAATGAGCTGTAATTATTATGTTGCATACAAAGGAATGTAATTATCAAATTTGCATTATTAAACAAGTTAGAATTGTACTAAAACTATAGTATGTTACCTCTTGATGCGATTCACTGCAGTTGAATAGATTACTTTCCACAAAAAACAGACTTCGGCATGAAGAAATATAGCGACTGAGTGTATCTAATCCCTTAAAATGCTGATCACAAGAGGGGCACACAGTCCAACGCGTTCGTTTGTGTGTCGAAAAAGCTCTCCGTTTCGTTAGGATCCTTAATAAGAGCGGGCTGGTGGAACAGAAGTAATATTATATTTACACTTCTAAACAAAGATGAGTGGCGTCTCCCATACCATAGAGTGCAGTTGAGTGATTTCCTGAAGCCAAACACAGACTTTAATTCTGATTGACATCACTTATCATCAATCTATCATCGAAAGGGTATGTGAATGCTGTCACAGACCATTTGGGCGCCTAAAAGTTCATAGCTGGTTTGTTAATAAGTTAAACCACAACGGGAGAAAGAGATGAAAAGCTGTAAGCTTGGCACTCGTGCAAGTCGTAATGCAACAAGCTTCGTTATGATGAAAACGTACGTGCCGTCATGTCAACGCCACCGTCGCCTCCCCTTCACATGGTATATGTAATTTGCACAAGATGAAATTCGACACTGTAGTACCAGGATAATTGCCCAGCTTAGGATACCAGTATATTACTCGCTCTGTTGATCTTTCTCATTATTTGTCGTGGGCAATTCTCTAGTTTGCCAGATGCTCAGGTCAAGCTATTTAAAAATGGTAATTTGTTATATATCTAAGAAAATAAACATTCGAGAATTTATGTATTAATGTATAAATTACACTTAAGAAGTAAACGCTTTATAAACGATGTTGACAATTTTTGAAAAACAAAATTATCAATTTATATTATGTTCTAAATGTCGTTATATAAAAATATCATAACGTTAACCGCAGTGTCCAATGCAACTACGAGGTGTTCAAAAATAGGGGGAGCGACTTAGAGTGAGTGCAGTCATTGAGTGGGCACTTCGTACTGGAGGGGTGCACCGATCTTACGGGGTCGATGAAGTACAAGTCACAGATTAGGGTACTATCTGGAGGTTCCTATCATCTTCTCTTATATTCCACATCCTCCCTTTCCCGTCCTTCTCTCCCTCTCTCTCTCTCTCTCTCTCTCTCTCTCTCTCTCTCTCTTTTCTTCTCTTCTAAGGGACACGTTACCCGTGCCTCTAATGAGCTACGCCACTTCATAGGCGACATACTTTTAGTAACAAAACTAAAGGGCTGCTTAATTGAACCCTCTCAGCCCCTCCCCCTCACTCTCTCTCTCTCTCTCTCTCTCTCTCTCTCTCTCTCTCTCTCTCTCTCTCTCTCTATCTCTCTCTCTCTATATATATCTCTCGCTCTCTCTCTCTCTCTCTCAGGCTCTCTCTCTCTCTCTCTCTCTCTTTCTTCTCTTCTATTTCGTCTACGAATAAGGGACACGTTACCCGTGCCTCTAACGCCACTTCATAGGCGACATACTTTTAGTAATTAAACTAAAGGACTGCTTAATTGAACCTTCTCAGCCCTTCCCCTTCCCATCTCTCTCTCTCTCTCTCTCTCTCTCTCTCTCTCTCTCTCTCTCTCTCTCTCTATATATATATATATCTCATGCGAGCCCTGTCGAGACGTATGAATTTTGTTTTTCTTCATTACTTCAAGTTTATTCCTTCTATTATCTTTGAGAAAACATAATTGAATTGAACATGAAATAGAGAAGTATGAATCTTAGAAGCTCGTGATTTACCCCCTCTACCAACGTCATCGCCGTTGTCATAATCATCATCATCATTAGCATACTCATCTTCATCATCTTTTCATCACACCGTCTTTCTCATTTCCTCCACTAGTCTATTTACTTCGTTTGGTTTATTATTATTAATGTTATCATCATTATTAATATTATTATCATCATAATTATCATTGCCAGCATCATTATTATTATCATTATTATTATCATTATCGATATTGAATTATTGATTTAAGCCGTCCACACCATCACTGGGATGTATGATGGCTTCTGTTTCAATATGGCTTGCCACATCTTCCTATCTTCTGTCAGCCTAGTGGCTTTAGTCAGGGAGTCAACTTGTCTGTTGTTGCAGTCCGCCTTGATGCAGTCTGTCCATCTTTTAGCTGGTCTTCCCCTTGGGCGTTTGCCAAAATATGATTATTATTATCATATTTCATTCGAAACCGAAAAATAAGATTCTCCATATAATTTCAATATTGAATCATAAAGTGTGAAATTTTGTTTTCTGAATTCAGTTAAACACTTCTGATTTTACAGTGACTGACAAAGGAGACACTTTCAAATAGGCTCGTCATCCATCTCAGATTCATTTTGACTATATAGGCGCCACCAATCGTTTCCAGCCATATAGCTCTGATTACCGGCGTTTATGGGTCTTTCTGTTCATCCATTGCTCACTGAGAAGAGTTGTAAGACTCTGAAAATCATTATCTGAGGCGAATTCAGGATGTTCAAAAGGGGTAGAGGGACGTCATGTTTGAAAACCCGAAAGTAGTGTACGATTACTGCGGATCGTACTTACACGAACTAATTCCAATATCATGAAATATAATGAGCTGTGCTTGTTATTCTGTTTCTATTTCTTAATATAGTTCCGAACGCTCATAATTTAGGATTCACAAAATCCTATACTAGAGGGTTTATTGCTCTGTGCATAAAGTAATATTCATTTTTCGAACAAAATTAATGTACTTAATTATTTCAAGGTTCATAATTGAGAAAAAAAATGACAGGGTTCGATATTCTGAAAATAAAATAAATAAAGTTCGAAATTTCGGAAAATGTTTCGAAAATCGATTAGGGTTTGTCCTTTTATTTGATATACTTTATATTCCATTTTCTGATTTATGAACCCCGTTTCATTTCGGAATCACGAGCCATTCTTCATGTTCAGAATTATGAACCTGTTCCACGCTTTAGAGTCACCAACTTTCAGATAAATGAAGAATAATGGGAATCATTTTGGCACCCTGTGTTTCAATACTTTGCGAATGTATGTGCCATGTGGCCAAGTAGTGTAAAGCAATACAGCAATATTTTTGCATTTTTATTAGTCGAAACGCTGCACTCGTGGGCCCTCCAGAGCCTAAAAGTGTGTTGCGGTCTTTAGTCAGTATTTGCTATACGTTTTTTGTGGGTGCCATTTTTCAAATTTTCCAGGACCCCCCCCCCCCACACACACACACACACACGCACACACACACCCAGACACACACCCGTCGGCCCCGGGATCGCCGCCCCTGGGTGTAGAACGCTAAATGAATACATTTAGGTTAGTGAAGATCATGCATACATCATTTACTTTAAAACGTTTAAATTTCAAAAATATAAAGGTTTGATAGAATATAACGCATTACTTTTTTATTATTTATTATTGCATAGTGTAATCAAATAAATGTCGACAAATTTAAAAACAATATCATATTTTTGTATAAACGACAGGTTCTTACAAACAAACTATTTGGATTTGAAAACGACAAACTAGCTCGAACCACTTGGCACCATGAATATGAAATGTGAAGGGAAGAGGGAGAGAAAAGAGAGAGAGAGAGGGAGAGAGAAAGATACAAAATGTAAGAACATAGTAAGTACAATGAGATATCAGCAATAACTCCTTGGTAAGAGAGAGTGGTGGATGGAGGGAGTGAGAGAGAGAGAGAGAGAGAGACGATTTGGGGGGGGGGTAACGAAAATGTTACACTATAATATTGTATATTAAAATGAATATATATTTAAGAATCAAGAATTTCAAGTCCCCAAACTAAAGCTTATAGCTCAGATCTCGTAAAATAAAATATAACAGTCATGAATGTGATTACACATAATTATTCAAATTGAACTGTACGCTATTCCAGAAACATTGTAAGCAAAGATAAACCTCTGAAAATGGGCAAATCATTTGTAACTTGCAACATTTCTGCATAATCATCACTGATGACTATCAAGCATTCTACAAAATATTCATCATCAGAACCTCATGCTTATTTCTGATTGAACTTCGTGAATACAGACATCTATAAGCCTTATAGACCATTTTACTATACAATGCTTTCTAGCGACAAATTGCTTTTGCTATATACTGATCAATAATATCGTGAAGGCCAAGCCTGTATAAGCCTCAATTTGGGCTAAAATATCCATGCAAGGAAATTATATATTGGCAATAAGAATGTCCTTCTGCATCTTATCAGTAACCACTTTTCTCCTCGGAACTAGAGATGGGAGCAAGCAAGCTGATTTAGGAGTTCAATTCCTGCTATAGATCAAGCTTCAGTCTCATCAATATCAAAATGGTGAGAAACTTTAATTTCCACTGGTGGTGGAGATGCCGCATCATCCATTTCTATGATAGCAAAATCGTCATCATCGTCATCATCATCCGCATCGTTGCAGCAGCACTTGGGAGACAACTCCATGAAGAATTCCTGGATGCTGCGGAACATGATAGACCAAATGAACCCTTCGATGGGTAGGGTGATACTGATGATGGACAGGAGCGCGAAGACACCGTGGAGGGTCTCCTCGTCCTCGGAAAAGAACCTGGTGGCGAGACTCTTGGCGATGAACCAGTTGGGCGTGCCGACAGCCAGCGAGATGGCGCTGCAGACTTGAAAGGGGAGGTTGAAGTAGAGGGAGAGGAGGAGGCCGCAGAAGAAGCCGGATAAGGGGAGGACGAAGGCGCCGGTCCATACATGCCAGTCAGCGACAAAGTCCTGGGGATAGGCGATGCCGTTCAGGATAGGACTGATGATGACGGCCACCCAGAAAGCATTGCTGCAAACCTATGACGAGAAACAAATAGAGTGAGGGATGTGTGTGTGTGTGTGTGTGGGGGGGGGGGGGGAATTAAGATAAACAGAGAAATTGAGAGTCAGAGAGGCAAAGACAGAAATACAGACAGAGATAGAGAGATAAAAGCAGAGAGGTAGAGATGCAGAGGTGGGGGGGGGGGTAGAGACAAGGGGTAGGGAGACAGGGAAAGGGAGAGGGACCAGAAGTAGAGACATGTACAGAGAGAGAGAGAGAGAGAGAGAGAGAGAGAGAGAGAGAGAAAGGGGGACAGACAGGCAGACAGTCACATAGACAGTAAGAGAAAGACAGAGAGGGGTGGAGGGTGAGGTGAAGGAAAATAAGAAAATGGGGGGGGGGGGGTGGGGGTGACGGAGACATTAAAATTGAAACTGAAAACACGAGAGAGGGCGTTTTGAGAAATTAATAAAAGACAAGGATTAATTCAATTTGATCAGTAGGATAAAAAGAGAATTTGGGAAAATACATTGGCATGTGAAGAGAATGAGTGATAAATATACACCCAAAAAAATTATAGCGTTCAGGGTTTATTACCTTGGCCATTAGCCGTGCTTTCTTCTTCCCATGTACTCTCTTGTACAAAAGACCCAGGGCTGTGGGTATGAATATTTCCAGTTCGGCAAGACCGATGTCAGATGGAGGGCCAATGACGATATACTCCCGTGTCCAGGTTCGAGAGAGGACGGAGAACCAAAACGGAATCAGCCCTGCGGATAGGGCTGTGGAGAACATGGCGAGAGATAACCTGCAATGATCAATTGAACACGACAATGAAAAAGTTCAGTGCGCAAATCCGTAACAAGAACATCACAACGCGATGACTTAGTTTATTGGCTGGGAAGCAATAAACAACATAGCTTGGCTGATTACACTTACTAGATTTCATCAAGAATAATATTTCCAGGCCCTAGTTCAAGTTAGGGTAGGGGCACGGTTGGTAAACCGTTGCTCATTCATAATGCCTGATGAACCAATAAATATCAAAGTTATTAGTTAAATTTATTTCATTTGATATGATCTCTTAAAGAGATGATTACATTTCAAAAGGAGAAACGTTACCAATGAGAAAGAAAAAAAAATGAAACCTCAACAACGATGTCCTAAACCTGACATACTTTACATAAATCTTGGGGGATCCAAGGAAAGATATTTTGTTATGGAAAGGGGACTTGCCAGTAGCCCAGCGGTAGCCCAGCGTAGGGGGTAAGAAACATTGCATAACTATTACAACTCATACCACATGTGTTTGCAAATAAAATGTTTATATGTCATCATAATAATTATCATGGGAAACCTAATTTTGATATAGGAAATGGTGCTTTTCTTAAGTGCAAGAGTTTTTCTTTAAAAGAAGAACAGAAGCTTAAACGTGCAGCGAGAAGGCGTAATGTTGATGACCGAAATGACGAGAGGGCGAGTTTTAACCACTATACAGTTCCGTGGTTCTGACCCCGGCGCCCCCCCCCCCCCCCCCCCCCCCCCCCCTCAGTGTTATTTAGGGTACGCATATGCTTGTTCTCTCTTTTTGAAAGCACCCCCTATCTGAGGACTGCCAACATTTCCGAACCCCCCTTTCGCGGGCTTTTCGTGGGCTTTTCCTGCCTTGGAGACCCCCCCTAAATTCGGAATAATTTCTCAGGAGTCTAAAGAGATGAGGAAAAAAAGAAGAAAAAAACACCCTCTTTTTAAAGAAATCTCCGGGTGAAAAGTTAATACACCCCTTTTTTTAGAATTCTCGGGCCGGACTTTGTCGCACGAAAAGTACCCCTTTACCGGACATTTTGGTAACACGCATGGGATCCGTCCGTTCTCGGAGTTGGGGGGGGGGGGGGGCTGCTTTACCGATAATGGCGCCTTGGCAAGTTGGACAACTCACTCTCTCGTCTTAAACATGGCGTCATGGTGAGTTAATCACGTCGCCTTTTCGCTTCAAGTTTAAACATTTGTACAAACGGACTTAACATCACATACCCGACAATGACGACACCTTCCCCATAGTAGACGAACACGGCACAGAAGGGTGATACCGGACAACATGCCAGGATGATCATGGCCATTGCTTCGTTGACATCCAAATGCAGTATGACGGCGAGCCCGTACCCGATCAGGGGTTGGAAGACGGATTGGAAGGCGATTCCTATGACGACACTTTTTGACATGTGTTTGTCTTTATCGGAGAAATCTTTGATGGAGATGATGCAACCCATAGCGAAAAGAGCCACGGCGATGCCGATGTAGCTGATGTAGTAACTCGCCGTCGATAGGTAGTATTCTAGGAGCTATAGGAACAAAAAAAAAACGGGTAGAATATTATTGGAATGTTTCTTGTGAAAATGGTAATAAACAGTCGAAAAGAAAGAGGTGAGACGCTACGAAGAAGGAAAGTAGGTGGTGAAACATATTAGAGACAGAGATAAAGATAAAGACAAAGAAAGAGGTGAAACGCTACGAAGAAGGAAGGTGGATGGGGAGACATATACAGAAAGAGCTAGGCACAGAGACGGGATGAAGAAGAAAAAGAGAGAGAGAGAGAGAATGAATATAGCGTGAATAGCAGAAAGAAAGAAACATTAGTTTAATTTTCATGATGTAACGGATTTCCCGGCCAAAATCATACTTTTGTCATTCAGTATAGCGTATCGAGCAAGGAATTTGCACTTTTATCTTTCAAATTAATTGTGTGGGAGCACCGGATAACTTCTTGTATAAAGTTACCTTGTGATGTGATGAGTCTTGGTTACTCGGGCTCATGGTCAAGTTTGGGGACATATCTTCCATGATGATTAGCTGCACAAGGTTGCTGTCAAATCAAAGAGAAATCATCTGGCCTTGACTTATGCTAAAGTAGACACCTAAAATGAAAACAAATCTGGGAATCAGAATGTTAAACGAAATATAGGATAAACAAATACGAAAATTTTAATTCCTATGAGATTTCTTATCACTATTAAATTATAAATTTCAGCGAAAACCAATAAGGGAATACGTTGTCCACAATACATATTCACAACGGTGATAATACATTTGCTAATATGAGATACTCGTGCAGTCATGGATATTTAGATATTCCAACTTTCAAACATTTACAACTTCAAATAAATTACTCGTTTTTGGGGGGTGGGGTGGGGTGGGGTGGGTTTCTTCTATAGCACCGTGTTAATAGAGTTTAATCGCCTTTTAATAATCATTTTAGACTCCAGAAACTACAAAATACTGCTGCACGTATTGTCACATTTTCTTCTCGTAGAACCCACATCACCCCCATTCTCAAAACTCTTCACTGGCTCCCGGTATGTGACCGAATTATTTTTAAGTTGTTGTTGCTAGTTTTCCATTCCTTGTATGACTCTGCTCCTTCCTACAATATCAAGTTGATTGTTAAGTATAAGCCTACAAGACATCTTCGTTCATCTCAATCCTCCTTATTAGTTGTTCCTAAGACGCGCAGTTCCTGGGGGGATAGAGCATTTTCTCATTCTGGTCCGTCCCTTTGGAATAAGCTGCCACTTATTCGTAATTCAACTGCCCTTCATGACTTCAAAGTTGCTCTAAAAACCCATCTCTTTCTAATCAGTGCTATTTAATCATGTCAATGTAGCGTATTAATTTGTGTCGTTTTAGTTTACTTTATTTTAGTTAAGAAAGTTATATTTTGTGATAGTAATACATGTATGTACAGCGCCATGAGCGTCAGAGCCTGGCGGATACCGGCGCTATATAAATATCCATATTATTATTATTATTATTACTAAATAAACATAGAAATTAGGGTAAAATCAGTATAGGGTTTTAATTAGAGAATACCCCCCCCCCCCGCTTTTTGATGTAGGGGCATAGAGGTAGAACAATGCCTAAAAACTTATGACAAGCAAAAACAGAGATTATATTTTGCAGCCCTATAGCCCTCATCGTATACACTTATAAAAGGGCATGCGATCTGTGATGCAGTTCAAATCGTATGGAAGCGTCAGATTTATGCCATAATGATATGAAGAGTTTGGAAAGTTGTGGACAAAATGACTAAATTTTCTTTGAAATTAAAAAATGATTTGTGCCAAACTGAAGAATGTATTTTCAACCCACTTTACTTCAATTTGTTTGGTGTACTAACAGTACACAGGGATTCTAGTCACATCGTACAAAGTCCCCATATCATAAAAGGTTAAATATTGGAATCTTTTATTTTCAAATAAAAGCTCTCTCCCTCGAACTGACCCAATTATTGTAAACTCCATTTAGGCACATTATCAAATATTGTGAGCACTGTAGTTCTACGCTATTGTGATACCTCTAATTCTATAGCTTCGTTTTGGGTTCACTGCATTTATGGGTGAATGATGGGTGAATTGTGCCAAACCAAACACTGTCCTGCGGTATATCGTGGATGATTAAGTTCTGAATTTCCATATTGACAGAATGGTAGCAGATTCGTTTTTGAGATAACTTTTTTTCGTAATATGCCGTGGCAGAGATAAAGTTGAGTACTGGTTATGTGATTACATTCTAAAGGAAATTGTAAGGAAGCAAAAGGGAAAAGTGTAGTATGGTTATAAATGGTGTATACTATGACGTTTTAAAACGGTCAAAGTGAAGGAAACTGACCAAATCTTATGAAGGATCACACGCAGAAATTGCATATGCATGGGACTACCCACATATTTTGGTCCAAACTTTCAGCTATTTCTTGTCTTATTTCAATTATGAGGACAATTTTCAGGTGACTTTTTATTTTTCTGCTTTTGTGTTCTCTCAAATTGAAGCTCAACAATTTATTTTCATTTTTACCAGAATTCAACTTTCTTTTTCAAAAAGCGCAAGGGCCCACCTCAGAAACAAAACTTTCTGTCTGAAGTCTGTGCACATAAAATAATAATATAAAAACGTAATACGGAATTATGAATGAAAGAAGGAAATGAAAAGGCATGTAACAATCAAACAATAGATCTGCATACAAATTATTTGTTGACAAAATGAAAAAGAGGAGAGTGCAACGTAGCTTTTTTCATCATGTCTCATGTTTCCATGTAATTATTCAAAAGTTACACTTTTTTGTGTGTATTGAAATTTTTTTTTTTTCAGTCACTTCAAGGTACATTGATTATGTGACAAAAGATTCACCCACCAGTGAAAATGAAAATTTGATTACATAATGCATTAAAGATGATACAGTTTTTTAAAAATCCACAGGGCCATGCCCTGCCACCTGCTGTCATGGGCAGCTTTTTTATCATTATGTATAGCAATATATCTTTCCTTTTTGTACGATTTGATTAATAAGGAAATGAAGTCAGTAATATTTGGTTTAGCTAATTTGCATCTATTTAGGTAAAATATTTTCTTTGCAATTATTAATATATGGTTAAAAAGAATATAATTCTTCGACAATATACCAAGAATTACCATTTTTTCGGTTAACATCAAGAAATCAAACATAGTCAGCTCTTTTCCAAAAATCTTATACTGTTGTACATTTCCAAAAAAAAAATGTTCAATCGTTTCATTTAATATGTCACAAAAAGAACAAAGTAGGGAACTTATGACCTATACAATTTTTAATTCAAATTCAGAATATTATTTAATACCTTGAACTGAAATTATCTGTACATTACATTCATTGTAGTTGAAATGATACATGAACGGGCCAATAACAATTGTTTATCTTAAACATCATATATATTCTCTTAGTCTAAAGTTACACTTGGAATACACATTAAATTATTCAACTTTTCTGTAAAAAAATAATTTATCTATTTCTGTGCTCCGTTGTTTTGCATAGATTCAGGTTTCGTCTGCATGGAATGATACATTACGCTCGTTAATACAATTAGAGAGATGACTTAGACAGTGTGAGTCACAAAAAGGAAACACAGATTCAACCTTTAGAATCATTGTAATCGGAACATACATATTTAGCCAAACACACTCACCTTACAGCACATTGGGTTTTCTTAATTTGACACTTTCATACAAGTACAAATGCAACAGAAGTTTCTAATACCAGCACTTAACATTATTCCAGTCGTAATACGGCTTGAAAAGTGGATCTTCAATACCGATGTTCCGCAGATCTAGGCCTAACAGTATACGACAGATGTTGTATACACGTCACTGGATGCATTGGACTGAAATTGTACCAGACAGCACATAGATCTGCACCTTCAAAAATCCCTGTTCGCTTAATTTTCTCACGTTTTGTAAAACCGTATTTCTCTTCTAATTTCTATGCTTCTTGGTTGTTGATGTTCGGATTAACTTTTAACCCTTCGCCATATTCCACGATTCAGCGATTTTTGAAAAAGAAACGCGCCCTTTTTATAATTCTATGGAATCTATACAACTTTACTTGTCAGTACTGGTGTAAAAAAATATCAGTGGGTGTAGGCCTTTATAGCCCTCATATCTGTCACACTTGATGCTATAAATTAATGTTGCTTTACTAAAATTGACCTATTAGCTATTGCCGTTTGGAAATTATATATATATCACATCTGCATATTCTGAGAGTTTCATGGTCGCAGCTACCATTGGATGGCAGTATAGGTGGTATTTTTAATTAATCAAAATTTACCTGGAGCACCGGTAAATTTTGATATTCAATTTTTCTCGATAGCAGAAGTGTTTTAGGGGCTAAATTTGCTAGTGCTTATAATATACATCCATAGGGTCCCCTCCAACCCCTCCCCCATCGTCACCGGCTTGAATTCACTTCGTATACATTACATTCAAATACGAGTCTATCACCATAGACCTCAGCCTCGGAGGCAATGCCCTGGTATATCGGAGGTTGTGACCTCGACTACATCACCAAAGAGAGCTCTCGACACTACCAAACAATGTTCGATTGCCAAAAGCTTTGTCTACCGAACTAAACACTGTTTACATGCCAAGGTCAATTAGGTCAACTTATTTGAACAATGCTTTGCGCATTATTTGGTCGGAAGCAATCATGCGCGCAACAACAAGCAAGCCTTTATTACGTCACAGTCTCGTCGTTTCGCTACTGTAAGTCCGATAAACGCAGATGCCCTTGTGACGTCACAATCAATCATCATTGTGTCGCGCTTTCCCAGCTGGACGCGACAGTCGGCTGTGCTCCTATCCGTCGTACGTTCAATGAGATGCATGTGGGTGTGTATTATAAAAGCGGACCGCAGAATCCGACGGCGCGCAGGCTATTATGACGTCACAATAGACCGTTTTTATCGCGGGTAGCCTCGACATCCTGTTGCAAGCTAGCTGCCACTTCACAGCCATTTGGGGGATATGGACAACAATCAGCAATCATCAGACAGGACATGAAGCAATCTGTGTATAAAAACAACAACATTATATGTTCTGCACAATTGCACTTTGTATCGGCAAGCATATCTTTTATAAAAATTGAATAAGAGATGTTACTCCCCTTCTGCAATCCTAAATTAAGTACCAAAATGAACGGAATCGTGCATGCATTATGTTAATGACTGCTTCAGGAAAGAATCTGGCATCACCAGACGATGTTGAAATAAGAACCATAAAAGTAATCTGGTTTATTTGTATTCAAATATGCAGTGCGGCTGGCATGACACTAGCCACTAGATCAGAAAAAGATTTTGCATTTTTCAAAGAGAGTTTGTTTCTTCAAGACTAATGTCATTTTCGGTTTTCTAATAAAACGGCCTTGCATCTGTGTTGTCGTTTAATGCCTCGAGCAAGTTGTTGCGTAATATAATGCAAAATTCGTTCGCCTTGCGAGTTTGCCCTTGTTGTGTAGACACTTGGTCATTTCGATACTAAATAGGCGCGTGCGGATTGACCTTAAGATGAGGTCAAACTTGCTTGAGGTCAGACACTGTCCTTCGTTTGCGGGCAAAGCACTGATCATTGGGTTAGATAAGACAGTGTCCTCAGTTTGAGGTTAGATTCCCTTCCTCAGCTATTAGGTTTGCTAACAGGCTGACAAACATTTGGATGGTATGGCGCCATCTACAGTTGGTGCCACGTTTCGGGCCGTTTCGAAAAAGTATGTTTAGAATTCGCTCGGTTCCGGTACATTTTCTTTTTCATCATGGAGTAGTAGGTCCATGAGTTCATATCATAATAGTAGTACAATACTATGTGCTCAGTGAAATAACACACCAACTCATGCAACCCTTGTCTTTGCTGTATCTTTATTAAAGAATATAGTTTTGAACCCTTTAGAAGAAAGGTTGGTCGAAATAAAATGTAACTGGATTTTTTTTACAAGATCTGTCCACTTTTGTTCCTTTAATCAATATCGTTCTTTTAAGATTATTAATTTAATGAATGAAGATTTCGATATAACTACTGATGACTTTTTGTATCACTTTGCACTGACAATGTAATGCGGTCTCAATTTGCCGTATAATAATTAAAATAATCGCCAAAGTAATCATCCAATTCTCACTCTCGTTTACATGATGTGTTATATATTTATGATATGGAATTCTGACACAGTTATATAAATAATAAAATATTCGTATGAAACCATTTCTTTTAAATGTCTGAAAAGAAACGGAAATATTACTTTTCAACTGCAAAGCTTGCAACAGAAAATTGCTGAAATATAATAATTACAACTAGCCGGTTTGAAAATCATAGATTAAACGTGGCTATATTGCTTTGGGCCTTTGGCTCTCGGCTCAACAATAATTATAAGGAAAAATAAAAACGAATTCAGTTCAATGTAGATGTAAAAGATCATAGCTAGAAAGGACACTATTTTGTCAAATGAAAATCTAACTTGCATCTAACGCTAGATGGCAGTATAGAATATATGGTAGCAGAGCAATCTATACAGAATGATGGCTCTGTATGGTAAAAGACGATTTACTCTCGATAGGTTTGAGTGATAACATCCAACCTCCACGATACATCTACTTACGTGTACCCACGTATTTTACCAACGTCGGTCATACCATGATAATTATGTCCTGGAAAGCCGAGTGGTAAATCCTGGACTGCGGTCCGATCTACAAAGCCATATCAAGATGAGAAAACCCTCGCTTGGTTATGGTAGTGCTTCCTTTTTGCATTTTATGAAGTAAAACAATGCAATTTTTTGTTTACACTGATCACTAATTTACCCGAGCACTATTATATGACGATCATGAATACTGTGATAGTCAAATGAGAATTGAAAACTTCACATCGTTTGAATGTTCGTAGTAAAGGTCGATGTAATTTACAAGTAAATTAGTCTTGCATTTGTTAAAGAAATATCGTTGTATTTAGAACATGATCGTATATAGAGACTTTCGAAAATCAACTCAGAGGCAATTTCAGTAACCTATTGCAGCGTTTTTTAATTTCTCAAAAGTCACGGCACCCTTTTAAGAAATACAAAGTTTCGCATCACCCCCAATCCCAAATTCATAACAGAATATTCATTTTGCATCACTCCGGCATTCGTATTGTGCCATGGACACACGTTTGGGCACATTCGCAAGCGTGAACAAAAAATGAAGAAGACTTTAAACAACAAAATTATGGTACAATTTTTGTTTTGTGTTAACACACTAGATAAGATATAAAATAATGTTTGCGGACATACACCTCGCCGCCGAATACATGAATACAGTATGGTCACTCATCTCCATACACGAATATCAGGATATTCATGCATCTCGTTGCCCAGAATCATCCTGTTTCTAAATGTTGCGAGAAAGTGAAACGAACGAGCATGATAACAATTGTTATTGCGATATAAAACTAAAAGATGCGAAACATATTCGGGCACCTTTCTGTCAAATAGAAGGAAATTCGGGCATCTCGTTGCCCAAATATGAAGGTATTCAGGCACTTCGCTGCTCGGGCTTAGATACCAGGGGCGGGTCCAGTATTTTGTGAAGAGGGAGGGTTCCAATTTACACAAAACTCTGACAAGCTATAATACAGAGAATGATAAACATATTTTTGGGTGTTAACTTAGCCGAAAATGAGGGAGGAGTCCAGTCAAGCAAAAAGGATGGTTTATAGTAGGCCTACAAACCATATATAATTATGACAGTCAATAAAAGGAGGTCCAAACCCCCATGACCCACCCTCTCGATCCGCTCCTAAACTACGTTACATTTACTATGGAAAAACAAATTTCACGACGGTGTCAATTAGTTTGCATTACATATTGACAGTAAGAAAACGCCCCAATGTGTTGTTGGCTTAAAGAGCGACTAACTGACCAGTGTATGCAGGGGCGGTGTTGGGGGGGGGGGGGAGGGGGAGTATGTAGGGGCGATTGCTTGTCAGATTTCCCCCTTTTTTGGAGGGGGGGGGGGAGGGTTATCAATATCCGAATTCTTCTTTCAAAATTATTTTTCGTAGAGACCTGCATCTTCTAAAACAATGGATTCTTGCAACGCGTATATTGCATAACATGGCGTCCTCTCTCTTTACAGTACCTGTCATTAAATCCGTTATTGGTGTATAATTATGTATTTCAACTTTCATGACTTTACTGGGCTTATGAAATGCATTTCTTATGGATAAGTTTAAAATCTGAAGTCTGATTCATGATATTTTTGTTCCATTTCCTGGTCGTCAAGGAGTTGAATGTAAGTTATGCCTTGCTAGGAGGTGGTGACCTGTGAATATGAGCCTATGTGTGGTTCTATTATTTTCTGTGGGTCAGCACGGGTGCTGTTTTTTTCTTCTTCTTCATTTGGTTAATTTTGTCTTTTGTTCTATTTTTAAAGGAATCATCATAGTTTCCATTGAATTCCATGAGCATTTGTTACATTTGCGTTTAGATACATATCTCCTGTGTCATTAAAGTACACTTTCTTTCTGCGTTCTGATATTATGTTTTATTTGTTTTAAAGTTATCCATTACATCCATTTCGAAGCCCGGGGAGACTCCGAGCTTTTGTAAAAGGGTGACCAATCCCCCAATCTCTCACAAAACAAGGGATATGCTCAACACGCAGAAACATGATAAGTAGGAAAAAAAGTCAAAAACCCGCGAACCCCCCCCCCCCCCACCGGCCCCTCGAAATACACATCATTCGATTTTGTTGTAGCTGGAGAGAGAGAGATATATCGCAATGGTCTCCAGATAAGTAAAAGATATGAGCAAAAAACAACAACATCGCTGTCCGAAGATGAGTTCATTCGAGCCTCTTGCTGCCCGAATGTTATTATTTTCAAAATGTTTGATTGGAGGTTGCAACCCCTTCCCATCCGTCTTGAACACCTATGTTTATTATATTCAAGCGTTTTAGCTCTGTGTATGTGGTTAGCTGCAGGTTTGTAATGCCGTTATGATTATTGGGGGGGGGGGGGGGTAGACGATAGACTTGATATGGATGACGCCTGCCTGAATACATGAATATCTTGACGAAATAAAATGCTCAAATTTCAAGAAACATTTCAAACAATACAAGATCAGATACGACAACAGAGTTTCTATGACGTGAGGACAACGCCCCTTTTTTCTGAACATACTACCAAGTAATTATTGCTATCAATAATGTTAT